AATTTTGTTTACTGAAAATGTATGTTCATTATCCATGAGTTTCAAAGTGATGAAAAATTTGCACCGTTACCATAGCAATAACAAATCATATACATTTTTTGGATGCGCAAAATGTTGCCAGTAAACAGACAGCTGAAATCCATAGTAACATTTAAACTTACTACAAGGGCTCATATTATGCTATTTTCTGATGTATGTTATAATGTTGTTTCCTCCACAAAACATATCGGGAGTTGTGATTTGTTTCATTCACAAGTGTTTTTCTTTCAAACAAAAAAAAATAAAATCTCCATCTTGTGATGTCATGTGGTAATACAAGAAGTGCTTCACTGTGTCTTTAAAGTTCATACATCTTCATTAGAAGCATTTGGATAATTTAAGACCTGGAATTGTCAATCTCTAATGAACTGAGGCTATGTATATGATGACGTCTGAACAGAAGATGCAAAAGTGGCGTTGCATCATCACTTTTTATTTCGCGTTTAGACAAGTGTTTTCAGGAGGAAATCTGGATGCATTTGGTGACGCAAAAGTTTGTGGAATTCGATCGGGTATGCATGCCAGGCGGCTAGGTGGTGACGCTAGGTAGTGATGTATGTGACGTAAACACATACACGACGTGAGCAGATCTGAGAAGAGTTTTGTATCTCGGGCAGCGTAAACAGAAGGGCGGAACATATTCAACTTTTCCACTTTGGAGGGTGGTTTCAGACTTTTGCGTATTTAAGCCCCAAAAACGCCATCATTGTCTAAACGAAAGGCACTTCCGATAAAATATTTTGTTGCTTTTACCCTCAAGCGTTCTTGTGTAAATAGGCCTTAAAGCTAGGGTTGGATTTATTTTTGATGAGGCATGATTCTAACATAGCTTAAAGCTCACAAAAGTAAATAGTGTGTGATATAGGACTTTGAACGTCCTGGGATAGTAGTGCAATGGTGGTTCACCCCTGGTTTGCTTTGCTGTCTGAAAAAACTTTTCTAAACTTTGCACATGCCCAAAGAATCATAACTACAGTATGTCAAAGGTTTTGTCAGAACTAGGATTGAGTTGCATTTAAATACAGCCTTCTTTCTATAGACCATCTGAAGGCTGCTCTGGCATCATTTTCTGTTATCAAGCTCTCAGTTGATTAAAAAGCCCTACCAGACCTGTTGTTTGTTATGGCAAGCCAATGTTAATGTGCTTATTTGGCTGTAAAATGCCTGGGGTATCTTTAAATTATAAAACACTATTTGCCCTTTAGAGCATTGAAAAATTGTAAATCTACTGTAAAATATTTAAGTAATGTGTAAGTAATTATTTATCAGGACTTTGGGTCATTTCACAGGTTTAATGACAATTGATGAAAATTACCTGCTTCAATGTTTTCACACATTTAACAAGAGGCCCATTTTAATCAAAGGCGAAGGAGCAACTCTATGAATTTCTACGCTGTCAACTAAATTATCCTCATCTCTCAACACTTGAACTTATTGACTCTATATAAAAGTCTACTCCATCATAAAGACACTCATAAGCCCCATAGGAAAAAAACGTGTCAATGTATAGCGATATGAAGACGCCATGTACGTGCAGCCATCTTGTTCGCGTCTATGGGTAGAAGGGAGCTGGAAAATGAGCCGGGGAAGATGTACAGAGAGGTGGGATCAAGTGTTAATTAACTGTACTGTTTTAAGCTCAAAGGCCACTGCAGGACTCATCTCTTAATAGAAGCAGTGCAGTGCGTGCTCCATTATATCCACTCTGCTCACTAAATCATGGCTCTGTACCTCACCTCCTGTCTCTGCTGCTGCCAACGCCGGCCTCAATCATTATTATGACTGCAGATTGGAACTGTAAGTCAGGCCTGTCTCAAGTTTTTTTTTTTTTTCAAATATTGCAGTTTTCACACAGACCGGAATGTTTCACAAGATGGTATTAAACCTTTCTATCTTCATGGAGACCAAAAAAGACCAAGTTGTAGGTCAGATCCCCGCTCACAGAGTCAGAATGCCTGTTTTTCTAATTGCAGTGTCTTTGAGCTATAATGAATAAATACAAGTAGAACTGTTTAATGTCATTCTGTGGAACATTCCAGGCAGAGCAATACATATCTATAGAAACAAGTAGGTGATGGACCTCCAACCAAAAAGTTATACAGTGCATCTTTAAAATAGCCTGATTCATCAGCCGGTTTCACTCGTAGAAACCTTGCAGCATTAGAATTCGGTGGGCGGGTACTTTTTTCATTTAACCAACCGCTGCTATTTGGTCGTGATGTATGGAATGCACCACTAACGGGGCTAACTGGTATATAAAGATTTTCCCAAATCCCATAGGAAGAAGGGCAATAACGTTTTTCCCCTTGGTAAAATTCACCAAACATTCTCTTTGTTCCGGCTTTAAATCCTCGATCTTGGGAATCGTTGCCAACACAAAATATATGGCTCTTCACTGATTGGCTGGTGCCTGAATTTGCACTTCCAGGGTTCTTGCAAACCATCTTGTGTATTCCAATTTCTGACCTACTCACTGGAGAGAAATGAAATTGAGCTGAGGCGCTAGGTGGTGCCAGCCTGGCTACCTTTAAAAATATATGGAAATTATTAAATAGTTATAATAAATAATATAATAATAAATAATTATTATTAAATGGAAAATATTGCCTGATTTTTGTGTGGAATAGTGTCTGTTGTGAGCAGATGTATTTCAGATGCCCTTCCTAATGACATTTAATTTTGCATTCTAAGTGCTACCCCACAATTCTATACTATACACAATACTAAGCAGCTGACTCTTAAGTGCAACGTTAAAAAAATAACAATAATAAAATAAAATAAAATAAAATGCTGACAGTTATAAGAACCATGGGATTAATACTGTCAAAAACCTTGATGAGGAATTGTTATAATTTTAACTAGGTCACTATAAATTGATTATAGGCCAGCTTATGTTACTGTTGCTTCAGTTGCTTGGAAAAATGGTAACTGCTACACGGAGAATCTTCCCTGGTGTGGTAATCTAATTAATCCAATCTATTGTATAATCCCGAGCATTTAAATGTAAAGGTTTGCTAAAACGCACATTTAGCATGATGAGTGTATTGTGAAAATGAGCCTTTGAACAAAGCTCTGCTAACAATAAATCAAACCATGAAAAAATGACTCTCCATATTGGATCCAGTGCAGCCCTACCTTAATAATATAAATGATATCTTTCTGTAATTTAATTGGCACTAGCTTGGCGCATATTGCTAATATAATTCTGCATTTCCATATTTAATGATGCATGCGTTTCATGCCATATTTTACTTAGAAAATGTCGTCTTAAATGAACCTTAGAAAAATCTCTAATAGGCATAATTCCAGCAAATGCAATTTCTTTATTTAAGGGTTCTTGGGCAAAAAGGAGAGAAGTGAATGCAGTGTAAGTGTTATTATGAGACATTTTCATAAGCAAATAAATGGATCATATTGCAATGTTAGTGCTGACCCTCAATTTATTAACTATACAACATGATTTCATTCATAAAGCCTCATAATGTAACCACTCTATTACAAGATAAATAATAGGATGAGTTTTCCTGTAAATGTAGTGTTTGGCATGGTTGGTTTATGACGTGAGGATGAAGATATGATTTCAGCAGAAAGGTGCTCCATTAGGTTGGGCACCGGTTGAATGGGCAAAGACTCTCTCAGGGGAGGCTGTCTGTGCAATGCATTAAACTCTTACAGTAACATCTCTCTCTCCATTTCCTTGTCTATCATTCTGGCATGCAAAGCAAATAATTACTCAGAACTTCCAACATAGGTGGGTCATAATCAGACATTTTCTTACACAAAATTAACTCTGAGTTATAATGAATATATAATGAGTTTAAGTCTTGTTATAATGTGGTTACCTCATCAAAAACATACCCGAAGTTGTGTTTTATTTCATTCACACATTTGAGTAATGCTGCTTTATAAAGCTGAAAATGCTTTGTTCCACTTCGTCATGTTATGTAGTCATATGGACTTTAAAAATGCAATGGAGCACTTATTGTATTACCACATGACATCACAAGGTGGAACACACACACACACACACACACACATATATATATATATAAACATGTGTCAGTGAAACAAAACAAAACCCCCATTTTTTTGTTTATCCATATTTATGCTTTAGGCCACTTACTTTGTTTTGAAAGCTCTGTGAAGTAATAAAGTTAGATTTGAAATAATGTTATGTCTTCATATATTTTTACTTATTCTGATTATTACTGTAGCGTGATCTCTTATGTAACAATGCTCCTATTAGGGCTATGTTTATGACTACTCTCCTGAGCACTTCCCCTCTTCCTCCCCTGTGAGGTTTAAGGCAGCAGAGGCAGACAGGGAGAGGGAACTGTGTGGTGAAAATGAGAATAAATGGATGTCAATTTCCATGTGGGATAGGTAACCAATGATCCGTTAATGCAGGCTCTCCACAATAGACAGACAGAATGGGGGAATTAGAGGTGCCTGACATTTCAGTTAATTGCACTAACCGTGTGAGCTCAGCACTAGGCCCAAAGCAGGTTAAGTGTTCACCTCCTGCCACTGCTCCTAGAAGAGCCTGTGCTTATCTTGGCTCTGCTTCAATATTATCATTATGGCATGTACACTGATGATGGATACACCCTGTCTATATCCCTAAGTGAATTTCAAGTGTGGGGCATAGGATTTCTTAATGGTTGTAATATGCAGTTAATTGGTTTATTGCAAGATTCTGTGTATTTTCAGTCTATTGGGATAAATAGCCAGGAACGTAATCTTGCATAGTGTTTTAAATATGTGAGATGTGTGCAACTTATGATTAGAAATTGTTATATTATTTTAAGATTTGAAAATCCTTTGTAAATGTAATTATTTGATGCACTGTGATATCAGATTACTTGCTCAAAACAAAACAAGTTGAATTTCATGAAAGAAAAGGTTTATTCATGTTGAAATGACACAAGTACCACAAGGAAGACTCTTGAGTCCAGGGCGTAGTCTGGTTAGAAAGAAACACTAAACATCTTTAATACATTAGATCACTGCCACAAATCATTTGTCATGACTTTCAGTTTCAGAATCACATACAATAGAAAAAAGAGAAAAGAACTGGGCACCCTGTTGAACAGAGCTGGAAATGTACAGTTCTGAATACTGAAACCTCTATGCATTACACTTTTTATCGTGTTTTTTAGTCTTTTTCAATGGTTTAGTAACAAGATGAGCAACATTCAAAATGTTTTCTTTGATATTTACAACAGTTTTACTGTTTTGGTGTTAATTTATCAACAACCCCTCATAAAAGCCACACACCATCATTTTTAATTCAAGCCCCACCCCTTTATCCATCTAATCTATTAATATTGTTATTCTTGTTTTTTATTTTTGTTATTTTAAGTTGCACATATGCAACAGCATTTTATTAAAAGATTAAAATATACATTAGATTACATAGAGAATGGAGAGTTTACAGTGTTAAAGATGTTGTCAAAAAGTACGTACAAAACATTGAATAAAATCAAATAAAAAGGTGACGATGGTCTGATTTTGTTTAGAGGTAGTAAGTGAGCACTCTAAGCTACAGAAATGATTAGTCTGTGTGAGCTGGAATGAGGTAAGAATGCTGTGTTCTGATTGGTGGATGTATAATTACTCTTATTCTATGTACAACTTCTCATGTGTAACTTGGGGCTGCTCCTGCATGCCTTGGAAAAATGATCAACAGAAGGGGGCATTGTAGTTTTCAATAAGCAGTACAAAAGAAATGTTTACATATGTACATAGCAAACATCAAATTATAAAATATGGAAGCGTGTCATGTTATAGTCAAGCAATCAATTACGCCTCTTTACGTAGCAGAGTTTGAATAGTGATTTCCTTGTACTAATGTATATGGCTGTAAGGCTTAATAAATCTTCAAAGTAACTACAAAGCTGCCATTGAGCTGTCAGCGCTAGCATTGTTGACTTGCCGGACAAGACTGCATTGTGCATTACAGTCAAAGAAAGAGCCGTGCTAATCTGCTAAGCATTGTAAAGGGAACTCAATTATCAAATGGAAATAAGCATTTAAATCAACAATCCAACAAATAGCCTTTTAATATGTCATAAAATGCCAATTCAAAAGCACTGCGGTCGTTATTTAAGATCAGAAGAAAATATTGGTCTGAAAAGTTTACACGTGTGCTTACCCCTCCAACAAACAACAGAGAATTAAGACTATGTCGAGACAATGCTTGGTGTGGATTTGGATGTGTGAAGAAAACAAGAGCAATGTCGTGGTGAAAGGCGTTTTGAGTGTCCTCTGTGAGTTGGTGGCCAGTTTAAGTTTAAGTCCACTGCCGGCTCCAGGATGCGTTTATGGTGAATCAATCCGAGGTATCAGAGTGCACACTTCCAGGTCCTTCTGTCGCAGAGATCACAGAAGACGGCGTTGGAGCATCCTGCCATCCCCCATTAGTCTAGGACATAGAGATTACGATCACATTCAGTGCAATATGAACCCCATGGATTTTTATGAACGCTCGGTACATGGTACAAGAGAAGAGGAGACATTGATTGTGTTAATGTGTCACTTCATGTTAAACATAGCAGGACCTGGAGCATTCTTTACAGTAGCATCAGCAAAGACAAACAAAAGTGTTTCAGCCAATGGGAGCATTTCTTGAAATGGGTGTCTAAGCAAATTCTTGCAGCATCCGACAGCTTGTCGCTCCATATTTTGCTGTCAGAGGGGCAGAGGGTGAGGTGCGGGGGAGGGGAGGGGAGTGAGGTGGGAGAGCTGAGTGGATGTGACAGGGCAGGGCCTTGCTGAGAAGCCAGTCTTAGCTGCCCTGGCATTGCCTCGCTCCAGGCGCCACCTAGCCTTTACTGGATCCTCTACGTCACTAGCACAGAACTAAAGGTTAGACTATGCAAATGCATCTATAAACCTCTTTCTGGGACAAAATACAGGCTGTGCATCTGCCTCAGCAGCTCATGTGTAGCAGTCTTTGGGGTTATGATATGTTAAAGACATGGTGTCACTGGCACTTTGACTTGTGATCACAGTGCAGTCAGAGGAGCCACTAGGCACAGGTTTACACTGCACATCCAAGTGAGAAACCTGGCGAGAAAGTACAAACCGTTTGATCTTACTGCAAGCTGACATCTCTAAAGAGCTTATAGCAATAGGGCCGAAGCACAGCTCAAAAGACACTGAACTGGATCCTGGCAAAGCATTTATTTACATAAACTTCACCAAACTATTTCATTTCTGCATTTCTTGTGACATTATTTGTGAAGTGCATTATTCACATTTGCAACATACACAGAAATGCTGGTGTTGTGATAAAATGAAGGTAAAACTGTCTGCGTCTCCTCCCAGCCGCTCCTCATCAGCTAAATTAATCTTTGCTCTGATAGCAGCAGATTATGTGCTGCTTTTGCAAAAAGGCTCCGTATCAAACCTCATCAAGGAAGATGGAATTCATGTCTGCAAAGAGCTGCGGGCCATCACATGTTCAAATTTTATCTCACAGATAACGCTCAGGCTCAACATTTCCAAACAGCTACAAATGCAACAGATACGCTACAGTTTTTCAGCTCATTCTGGGTTCAGTCATCATCAGTGTTTAAGTCACAAATTACACCAAGATGAGTTAGAGATTTAAAGGAAATATATAGTTACAGTTATACAAGTGATATACGTGTACTTACATTTAAGCCATGTGGACTATACATTGTGATCCCCCCCAGAGCATCATTGTATCCTGCCGTCTGACTGGTAACACGGTGCGGGGTATCCACCTGGAGGGGCAGAGAGAGCGGACAGTGTGGTCAGCTCAGTCTACAAGATGCTGACTGATATCAACTCTAAACATGCTAGTGACGCAACAGAGACTGACTGGTGGAGGGACAAAAAGAGGAAAGTATAAAAACAAAACAAGAATACCATTTTTGTAAAAAAATAATTGCAGACTGACATCACAAGCATGCTCACAGCCATCTGCAACTGTGGCAATGGAATAAATAATAAGTAAATATTTAACCTTATGATTAGCACAAACAGATTAACAACATAATATAGCCATAATATAACTTACAAAATGGAGGACACCAACAACAGACAATAACAAGATGTCAGAGAAAGAGGTATATAGGAAAGAAGGTAAAGGGAAATACCAAAAATACCAACCCAAGAGCTCAAGTCAAAGCCAAATATGTTTGTAAAAAAACTGGGGTCAGTGTAGAATTGCTTAAAATTGGTATTCAAAGCTATAATTTAATCTATTAGTATTTTAAATGTGCAGTATATTTAGTAAAATAGTACAATGTATAGCTCTCTATACAGGCAAGACATGGACAGCTATCTACCAGCTGCTCCTACCTGCGCCTGTACATTGGCTCCAACTTGTGCCCCTGGGTAAGAAGCCCCATTCAGACTCTGCATGCTCAAGAACATGTGCCCCGAGTGAGGGAGGCTAAAAGAACCCGAGGAACCTGGAAAGGGAAGATGTGAGTGTCTGAATATAGGAGAGGAGCTACCCACATACACACATACACACACCAAGAGTCCAGGGCAGACACAGGACAGACCCACAGAGCAAGCAAGAACAGGGCTACAGAGGGGAATGGCAGAGAGGCAACAGAAGTCCGAAGAGGAGAATACTGCTTTACAAATGGACACAAATGAATGAAAACCACAGGACACAGGGCAATGTGAGGGGTGTGGTGGGTTCTACATGAGGTTGGTTGCCTGAGCTCCCAATTGTACCACATCACAGCCTACGTCTGTACTACATGTTTGGGTGGAGGAGGGTTGGATGGGCAATGACAAATAAAGAACAAGAAGAAGCATATGAAAAGACCAGTACCAGTAAACATGTTGGTTAAAAGAGTGTTTTTGCTCTCAGCAGAGTCCAGCTGAAACTCTTCGTCTTTCATCTGGAATCCTGGGAGCAAGAGAAAGGGACCACTGCATAAGCTTACCACATCCCCACGGCACGTCACAGTCTTCAGTATTATATTACTCATTATATAGTGCAGTAAATATGCCCTTTACCTGCTTTGGTGAATGACTTAATACAGTGTGAATGTATTTAATACAGCTGCAGGTAAAATGCTCCCAGCATTATGTTCTCCTTTATTTAGCATAAGGCAGTGGCATTCAGGGGAACTACATACCATTACATTACAAATGACAGGAAGTTGACAGAAAGTCAGGGGAAAACAAATCCCATAGCATCATTCTGAATTCTAGGCTTTTTTTATTTTGCCAAAAATACACATGTTCTCGGTTCACAAGTCAGAAACGCTCTCTTTATGCATGAGTTTGCTTGGCATCAACTGTCTTATAGACAGGAGGCGCTGTGATCCCCGAGCTGGGAGCAGGCCTGTCACTCTGTGTGAGCTGCATGCGAGTCAGGTGTAGGAGCAGGTTCAGGGCTGACGTGAGAGCACACTCTTATTTGGCTGCCTTGTTTTGCTCTTGTCTATATGCAGGAGTGCCTACCAGAGTTAGGTGTGGTAGGGGAGTTGGCCTGGCTGTTCTGCACTGCAGCGGCTGCAGCATGTGCCGCATTTACAGCTGTCTTGGCGGCATACAGGTTGGCTTCTTCCTGAAACTTGCCGATATTTTTCTTGTACCGGATCCTTTTGTTGCCGAACCAGTTGGATACCTGCGTGGGAGAGAAGAGGGGGAGGAGCAGAGGGAAGTCAGACGTCAAGAAGTCACAGCAGCGTACACAGCAGTGTTATTGTTTCAAGATGTCATGTTTGGGTCCATCAAGTACCCAATTCCCAGCCCCTGCAGTAATGTCCGCCGGGTACACAAGCTAATTAAGCCGTAATCAGGAGCCACTAGTGTCTCCTCATGGCGGGGAGCGTGACATGCTCTTAGCTCTGTCTCCTGACAAACACAAAGCACCAAGGGCCTCACTGCAAACATACTGGCTTAGATCACAACTATCTCCATACATAATAAACCTGCCTCAGTGAAATGGATGCAAACCAGACATGCTGGTTATCAAAACACTAAGCACTCAGTTAGTTATAGTCACACAATTCCAAATTCCAATTTTAAACATTTCAAATGTTGATGTGCATGTTAATTATCTACAAGGTCATATTAGGTATATTCAAGTCAAACATGTGCTTAGTTAAAATAGCAAGAGAAGGGACACAAATTACAGCTGGAATGCAGTTCATAAAGTTAAAGTGTGTTTACACTAATTACATATAAAGTGCAATATATTCCAGCAGTTACAAATACTAATTTAACTGAATGTAAGCAGTAGCATGTGACATCAGTCAGATAGCTAAAAGTTGTGCACCTCTGTGTGAATGCTGGCTCTGCAATAACAGAGGAATAATAATGAGATGATGCTTGCTTTTAATGGTCCTATAAATTAGAGTGTGTTGTCGCGGTGATGCTGCCCCCCTCTCAGGCCATGCAGCCCACGGCTGGACCAGCCAAAGAGCAGCTGCCCCTAATGACGCTTTATTTAATTTCCACCCATGTGCTTAAATTTTAATATCCCCAGCAGCTCACCAATGCTGTGGCATAAAAACGGACTAGATTCGCAGGACATCAGATCATTGCTATCCTGCACGTCTCTGTGCTCTAAATCTTTAATATCTAGGCAATTAAAATTAATGACCATTCAGGCGAGGCCCACCGTTGGCAGGGTTTCCTTGACACCAATTGTTTGATGGGTTTACCTAGAGGTTAAACTAACAAGCAAGGTTTAATTGGAAGCAATGAAAGCCCTGGCCATCATCATTTTTACTTAACCTGCTTATAGTGGATTCTAAGGGCCAAAGATGATCCAATACATTTGCTCTTTTAGACAGCTTCAAGTGGCCACTAGCAACCATTTCAATGCAATATTTAATGATACACAGACACGTCAAGTCAAGCGTGCTGAAGTGTCAAGATGTGCTCTCGATTTTGAGTGAATTACTATTGCAAACGTGGGATTGATCGTCATGTACGTAGTAAATATTTTCCCATTAATCAAAGCATAAAATCACTTTGCTGTCAGCACTCTTTTGGTAGATGCCTTTATGGCTAGGATGGTAAACTTTTCGGTGTTATAAGCTCGGTCTGACTTGGCCTTTCTGAGCATCAGGACTAGTTCCTACTCTTCCACACATATTCTCTCCTGCTCACTGAACTCCAGCTTTAGTGATTCTGGAGATCAGCTAAATATTGAACAAACGCAGCCGCTGGAAGGTGTGGAGCACAACCCAATCTACTGAACTAATTCCCTTTTATCTTGTGGCAGGCCATGCATTCAATTGACTCCTGTGTGTGGAGAGAAGCAGGTCTTAGAGGCAGTGAATTACCTGACATCAGCAGCCTCAAAGGCAGCGCATGTATAATGACTGGCCTAGTGCTGCCTTTGCACAGCCTCAAAAGGGAGCTGCGCTATGTAGCCTAAAGTTAATAATTCAGACTATTTCACCTTATTTCAGCTGCACGCCAGCCAATGAAATGCAATACATGATCTTTCCATGATCGCAATACATGTGAGGTTAGAGAGCCCTGAGCCTTAACACAAATACAAAGGTGGTGCTACTGGCTGTAGAGCCATCAATTATACAAGACACATTAATAATGGATAGGGACTCAAGTCAGAGTTTCTCCAGATTGACTGGGATCTGAAATATTGAAAAGTGTCACTTAGAAAAAGTCCATACATTTTGTGAAGGTCAATTAATCTCAGGAAAAAATATGTGGGTCTTAAACATTCATACAAGAAATATGATAAAACAGACAATAAAATATAGTTAACTAAGACACACCTCTCTGAGCTGAAAACGCTGGACGTTGCTTGGATTTGAAATGATTTGTGTGAAAGTGATCCTGCTGTTTCATCAGCTATAAGCCATCTACCATCACTGGAGACTGTTATTGGCATTCCGCTCATGACGGATGGTTTTTACTTAATGAACTGCTTCTGTAATCAACAAAGCCTCACAAAACAGTTGGGTTGGGGGTGTGTGAAAAATGACTTAGCAGCGGCCGCAGTCAGGAGAGTGGTTTCTGACTCTTAAAGGCAAAACTGTGAGCGATAATACACTTACGGTGCACTCAGCATCACATCTCAGTTTAGACGGTGTTACTTAAAATGAGCCAAAGCACTAGGAATAAGTCAATAACAACGTCTGCTGTGGCTGGCCCTTGTCTAGCTCTACGCCACTAATGGGGCCTGAGATGAGTTCAAGTGCCTCTCTAATTTCTTGTATAGCCTGATACGTTCTTATGGGAATCTTGTAACATACCCCATTTAAGGTAGCACTGAGTGTAAACAGAAAAACAAAAATATATTCAAAAGACAATAACTCTGCAACAAACAAAAATGTAATAAACAATAGCTGTCAAATTGATATGACACACATACTATGGTGATAACAACAAAATCATCTCATTTTTCTGTGTCTGTGTAGCTTGAAGGTGGAATGTTACAAGAATGAATTCATTGTCAGTAATTGCAATAACATTAGCTTGGGTCCAGGGTATATGAGGGAGGGGGTTCAGTGCATTGTGAGTCTAGTACATAAAAATACAGAGATACAAAAAATGAAAACAGTGGATCAGGAGAAGTCATGACATACCTGTGATACTGTGATGGTGCTTCCCACCCCCTGAAGGCAAAAAAGAATGGGCTTTTTACAGTGACTGACTCTGCACCACTACACTCAATATACCCCCTCCCCACACAGAACACAGACACGGCAGATTATGGTATAGATTATCTCGTATATTGTGTCTCGCTATAGAAACAATTGAAAATCTAGTCAAGTATGAGCTGGGAAGGAGAGCATATGGTTACCAAGATGTGCTGCTATACTGTATGTGTGAGATTGCCTTCAGGTTAACAAAATGATAAATACACTGTTGTCCATAAAATATGAATTGAATGAAATATGATCTTGACATTTGCATGTAACTTTTCATAAAATTAAAAGTGTTAGCCAATCATAGCCTGCTACCTTTTCCTTTCCAATACAATAGTCTGCTCGATCAAATCTTGTTCGTCAGCAATGCACCAAAACCCTCCCACCATTTGAATTTTCACTGCAGCAGAACTATGAGCCACCTCAGATTCTCCTTTCTCTCCTTTCCCCAAACAAATCTTTAATGCCTTCCTTAATTGCTTTGTTGACATTTTTATTACCCCTCACCTAATTGGAATGTGTTTAAGTTTTTCTATATTAAACTGGTTTCACCTAAGTAACTGGGATATCACATTTAATCAGGAATATACCAACAATAAGATCATTCTAACTTTATGGCCAAAAGGGTATAAAGTGGGAATTCTCATATATTTTTTTAAAAGCGCAAAACTAGTATTAAATTGCTTTTTTTTTTTTTCTCTTCTAACTGAAAGAACATGGTGAAATGAGAGGGTAAAATGTCATGGGAGCTTACATAGGGGGTGGAAGCTAGTGTATAAGAAAGGACATCATAGTGTTTGATTGAGGCCAAGATGATATAGGCTTCCTCCTCTCCCTGTGGCCCTGCTCAGACTGACTGGGACCACTCTTGACTGAAGCATCATTAGCCAGTCACAATGTCAAGGTTAGCTAAGGACATCGTGTCTCCATGCTGCGACCTACAGTAACTATCCGTCTAGGCTTCCCCCCTTCACTGTTGATTGGCCCAGCGGCTACTGTTGATGATGAACACTACCCACCTGGGATACTGTGATGCTGCACTTCTTGGCCAGCTCCTCCTTAGCCTCCTCGCTCGGGTATGGGTTGCTGAGGTGCGAGTAGAAATATTCGTTCAAAATCTCCGTCGCCTGCTTGCTGAAGTTTCGTCTTTTCCGTCTGAGTGGGGGGAAAGAAGCAGGGGGAAAGAAGCAGGAGGAAAGAGGCAGGGGAAAAAAGGTAGGGCGAGCCTATTAGCAGGGACCAGCATTAACTCATCCATTTGTATCACACAAATTGCACAATCAATCTCACACATAAATGGTGAAAATAATGAGCAATGGGCACTAAGGGCTCCTCAGGAAACAGGATGTGGTGTCCAAGAGGCAACGAAACCGGACAAATAATCAGAGAAACACACTGACGCATACACAACAGAAACAAAACAAAAATACACACTGGTTAATTTGGTCTGTGCTATCTCCAGTCCAAGCGTGTAATGTGTAGAGTTTAGTGTGGTGGTTGGGTGGGCAGGGATGGAGTGGAGAGCCCGGTCGGAGTGCATCTCAGTGCATTATAGAAATCATGGCATGCACAGTTGAGCATTGTTCCTCAAGTGCCACAGCCGCAGGGATCTCCAGTGGAAACAAGCAAACTCTAACTAGATCTGGGTCTCCTCGCCTCCCAAGGGCACTACTTATCATGTTGTTGGAGCATTTGCTTATTTTGCCTTGTTTACTGCTTTTTGCACACAGGCAGTGGGCAGCAAATGTGCTTCCGCTTGGATTGTTTGGCCCCTAAAACTTGTGGCACTGTGTCTGTGTGTCTGTCCTCCGTGGAGCCGCACACTGTTAGCTATTAGAGTAATCCACCTGCTGATGACCTCCCTCCCTCCATCCATTCCACATGAGCCGCTCCCATTTCATTTGGACTTAACTGCTCTCAGGTGTGAGGCCATGACTGCCTTCAAAATGGATAATGCACGGGACATGGACATAATTAAAATCATGCATCTCTACAGAGCTCATACTGCGCACTGTGCCAGAAAAGCTGAAGGGAAAAATAAAATACTAAGTGACCTTAGCTGGCTTCATGCAGGAGTGTAAAATATTTTTAAATATAGTTCAGAAAAAAAAATTTGACTACTGCAAAATGAAAATTCTACCCCTCCCTCATTTAAGCCAGGGTCTATAAAAATTATGCATCATTTAAATAATTTCTCTAGTTATGTTCTAAAGCTGTGGCTCTCAAAATGTGGTAATGGTCAAAATGATGGATGGTAAAAGCTCATTTTTGCTGTAGTTATGGCACCATGCACTGTTGTCCCACAAAACACTTCTATTATTCACCAATGACTGTTTTATTGTTTGATTTTCTAACTTTCTGTTGGTTGAATCAACAATTTTGTGAAGCCCTGTGAGGCTACTGCTGTTGTGATTTGGGCTATTCAAAAATAAATTGAAAATCGAAAAACAAGCTCCATTGTTTAGTTAAAACCTTTTAGTTATAACTGATTAGTCATTTATTTCTGAGATTTAAGATTTAGCCAAATTTGAAAAAGATGAAAACTGGAGAACATTTTCAATAATACTTGCTGCTACAACAAAATAGTTGACCTTTTTGCACTTATAAGCGGAGTTGTATTTGTTGTTGTGACTGAGCCGCACGTACCTGGCGTCAAGGAATCTGGAGCGCAGGATCATGACGGCCTCACAGGTGCTCTGCTTCAGCTGCATCTGGATGGAGCTGAACTTCCTGTGGATGATGCCCACCATGCGCTCGATCTCTTTGGGTGAGATGGGCCGCGTGCGCGACTGTTCCCTCAGAAGGTTCATCACATGAGTTGTGAACTCGTTACACGCCTGACACAACACACACACAACCAATGAGGGACTTTAAGAAATGAGCCTGGTAACTAGAGCACTATACTCAATACTTTAACAGTAATAGTAAATTTTCTAACTTATAGATTTTTTAAATACATATCCCTTATATGTACTAATATTTGTATACATTTTAGTACCACTGTTATTAATTTGGCAAATATTTATATGTGATATTAATCAAAGGAAAACATGAAAATCAAATGTAGATAGATACTACCTACTAACCTTCAATGTTGTATTAGTAGTTTTTAATTATCTTTGGTATAAACAATAAAAACAGTCATGTTAAGAATGGTATTATATTCCTAATTCTTAACAAATTGTTTACAGCGTTAACTGTATTCTTCAAATCTACCAAAGCATTTGTCATTTATGAATACCATGCTGATCTGTTTCCTGTACGATGATGTAATAGTGAAATAATATATTTGAAAAATTGTCTATGCATACACAATATTGTACAATAGCAATTTGGCATGGCCTCAGTGCAGCACATCAAATTCCAAGAGTATTTTTGTTAGTCTGAACCAGTAGTTCATACATGATTAATTAGAATAACTCATTTACGTAGAGCACACTTTAGCTCATTACTCTGAGTAAAATTCGTTAAGTATTTACATTTAGATAATTAAAACCTGAAAACACCCTTAAGAAAGATGCATTTACTCCAGGCGAAGTGTAGTGCCCCACATCCCCACCGCCTCTGAGAGCATGAAGTAAATTAGTCTAATTTAGCTCACTGGTTTGCTGAGGCATCACTGCTACACATTCTATTTCTCCCATAATGCATCAGTGGTAAAAGGTTTAAAATGCTAAGCCTGATCATACTTTGATTCAGTACAGATGACTAAAGTGCACTCCAGATCCCTATAATCAACTACAACACAGCCAGTAATAGACATTTACTTTTAAGCCTGTAACTCAGTGCTGCTCATGCATATATGCTCTGCAATTTGATCACAAATGTAGGAAAAATAGGAAATTCTATTTTCTTTCTTCTTCTATTTTTGAGAACCACTTGTTATAAAGATTTATTCATCATATAATCACAATGTTCAAATCAATGTAGTCTTTTTATGGAAGAAATATTTTACAGTTTGGTTTAATTCATTGCAAATTCAAAAGTTAACAGTGAATATTAGTATAATAAACATCAAGTTAAGCCTTGTGTGCCCTTATTAGCTACATGACCTACTTGATTTGTCACTGGGCAGGCAGTCAAGTGGAAGTGGCAAAATTTTATGCTCCACTTGTCCCTTTAATCCTTAAATACAGGTCTGTGATGGTACATTTTTAGAGGACTTTGTTAAAGACTACTAAATATCAGCAAAGAGCAAATAAGACAATCACAGCTGTATAGCTGAAATCTAAGTTCAAGTATTCACAAGTTTTTTCCTGTGGAGTTTAGACATTATGCCCATAGTAGTCCTTGTGACATAGCTTTGTACTGTGGTTAGTACCTGTTCATATTTCTCCAGCTCTGTGTGGTAGATCTGTCTGATCTGTGTGAGTTTGGCTCTGTAGTCTGAGTGTTCAATAGAGTTATCGGCAGCTCCCCCTGACGCTGCAGCGGCCGCAGCAGCAGCAGCTGAGCCTCCTCCCTTCTCGGGGCCAGCTACACCCTCGGCCAGCAGCATGTTGTCCAGACGCATGAGCTGAGGGTCTGGAGGGTCTTCCTCTTGGGCCCCTCTGATGCTGAGACCTGGAAAGACAAAGATAAAAAACAAGAAAATAATGTTGAGGAAATATACAAACATATGCAGTGAAAACTCATGCTTTAAAGCAGCAGCCTGCCAAGGAGCTGTGTTGTTGTTCTGTTGTTTCCTGCAGGTATAGAGTGGATGCCTTCATGCTCCATGTTCCTGTCCCCATGTCTTTGCCTGTTCTCTTTTATTTACACTGCGCTGCACACTGTGTGTACGGGGAAGCTGACATGACAGCAACATCCATAAACTGACAAATGCTCAATGGTGAAGTGGCACTTCCACTCTGTGAAAGGATGCTAAACAGAAAAGTATACCTCCAGTAAGAGTCCCCAGGTTGACACAATGGTTACAAGAGACTTTATAAAACTATAGCTTTTCTGATTTGAATTTAAAAATAATTTAAAATAAAATATAATGCAAAAAATAAAATATACAGTTTCAATTATGTTTCGAGATCCAATTGTGTAAATATTCAACAAATACTTGCAAACTTTATTTTTTTCCTTGTGTACTTTAGTCTCTTGTGAGTGTATCTCGGCTGCCCTTCTGCCTCAGTGGTCTTTGAGCGATCATCAAATAGCCCACATGCACACCTGGACGCATTGGCACTGTAAGCACAGGCCAGCCTTTCACCAGAGAAAACAAACCAGCACACACTGTGGTCAGATTCACCAAAACACGCCAGAGCAATGAAGTCTAATAAGTGGATGAAAGTGCGGCTCAATGGGCAGTAAATACAGAGTGGCTACTCGAACGTTATGATTACCAGACTTGTTTCAATTCAATAATCCCTCTCGCAGTTCACAGATTTTCAACAGCTCATTACAGCTTCATTAAGATATGGGCAGCCTCTGGATTCTAAATAAGAAGATTAGTGGCTCTATTGTGTCAGCCAGTGGGCATGCAATCAGAGAGGGCCTTTTACCAGGCTCTGACCTGCTTCACTCCATCAGCAGTAAACACTCTTGTTCACATGTGACTACTTCACACTGTGATGTTTTCATGTCTGTTGGCTCTTTGTTCAAGCCACAGGAGCACAGAAAAAACAAATTTGCCTGTATTTATGGATGGGCTGGCTTTGAGTCTTTTAGGTGTAATGGTGTGAGAGGAGTGGATGAATGTGGCTATTTGTGTTGGAGACATTGAGATGCTGGACAAGGCTCCATCAGGCTGCACACAGCCAAGCCATCCATGTGGACAATATGCCACTGCTCCACTAACCCTCATCTGCAGCAACACCACCCAGAGCTCCCATTCTGGCCGGCCTCCACCATTTCCATTCCAGTTTGTGTGGGGAAAACAGCCCATGATTCAAAGCGCTGACCGACCAGATGCCCGGCTACATATCTCTACATGCTCTAATAGCTGGTGCTTTGTCTGCCACTACACTTCATATTTTCCTAATTCACTATTTACTCCTACTCGGCTCAGCGGGCCGCTCTGTCGCCGTGCTGTGGGTGGCGGTAACTATGTAGGCACGTTTTTCATGTCAGGTATATTAAATATAACTCTGGGATGCAGCCTACATTTCCACACCAAACCCAGTTGTCACTTTCACTCCACTCACTCTATATCCGGGGGAACTGCAGCAGAGGGAATTTACAGGGCTTTTCAGCTAAATGGGCATAAATCACTGGTTTCATTCAAACTAAATAATCACAGGCCATAAAGAGCTACTTGTCTCTTACCATATATTACCACCAAACTCCTGTGTGCAATAATGCGGGCCATTCACAGCAAAGGAAAACAGAGAGGGGCATTAGAAAGTGACATGTAATCCTGTTAGTCCACTGACATGTGGAGTGGCCGTGACATTTTTATCATACGTGTCCATTTCTATTTGGGAAATCAGCGGGATAAAAATGATTACTGGGCTGCCCCGAGAAGCAGCAGCCCGGCAGGAGTCCACCAGGGCATATTTGTGCCTCCACTGCTCTGGATGGCCATTCATAACACATGTGTAAGGAAGGAAGATGACACTAAAATAAATATAAAGACAATATAAACCATTTCTAAAAAACTGTAAATAATTTATAGCCTACAGTGGTAGTCCAAAGTTTTTCGATGTGAGTCACCATGGAAAAGATGTGGCTTTGCAGATACCACCTTTGATATCTCAAAATGAGTGAAACAACAGAGAGTTGAGGTCTAAAACAGGTCCAAAACTCGCCTCTAAAACAACTATTTATTATAACTTGAAGCAGGGTAAAAACTGACATCGGAAATCTCTTTTGAATGTGTTCTCAGTTAATCTTAACCTAACCTGGGTTTGTTAATGAACATAACATGTAAATGTATGTGAGATTTTAGCCACATGTCCATCTCCTAAACTATGGGACAGGTCTAAACTAGGACTTAACATTGTCTTAACAGACTCCTGAGTTCAAAATCAGCTTTGTGTACCACTAGTGGTCCCTGCCCATAGTTGAACAGCCACTGCCCTAAAGGATTTTAAAGCAATGCCTCTCAGTCGGCAATACCTTTGTCTGAGAAGCTGAAGATTTGCTGTCTAAGCTCCGCATCAACCTCCATAAAATAGGCTTGTGCGCCAGATAATATCTTTAATTTGCTGTGCGCTTGACAAATCTGTATAGTAACTTGCAGAAGTCAGCCTGTATTCTAGTTCGTCGCAATGCTGCTTGCCTTCTCAAATCTTTATCTTGTTTTTGTGTCTGATGATACACGCATTAAAACAAGTCTGGGAACCCAAGTTAGTGCTAAGCTACCTCGACAGTCAAAAGAGGAATTAATCTGTGCAGTGCAGCAGTTGTGTCACCTTGGCAAAGCCTCAAGCAGTAGAACAAAATGGTGAAAATCCATACAGGTTTAGTTATTTTATACAACTGAGTATGTTGGCTCACTTAATTATCAGACCACATAATGAAAAATGTGAACTCATAATATTAATCTGCTTCATTTGTCATTGGAAAATACAGGAGGTCTATGGGAAAAGCCACTTCGCTCATTTGTCCTGTACTGCTGTGACAAACAGCGATCCATCCATCCCTATCAGTCAGAGGCGGCCCTCCTTTTCATTTTTTACCACTTTAATATCTGATCAAACAAAGTAACAAATTTGACAGAAAAACACATTCTTCATACAAGAATCTCTCAGTTTTTGTACTATGGGTTACTGAATACTAGCCTTTTCCCCCATGGTACCTCAAAATAAGCAACTGAACTTCATAGCAACAACATTTAAAGCATCATTCCACATAAGAACACAGTTTAGTGTTATTATTTGTACCTTATCTTATGATTTCCAGTTTAGTGTCTCATACATCACTGGCTGCTTAACGCTTTGACAATGATGGTGGTGCTGTCTTGGGCTACCCCCCCTTCTTCCCCTCTCTTCCTCCCACCTCCTCTTTCCCCCTGTGTCCTGTATTCGGTGGGCTTAGCTGACCTCTGGCCCAGCGCTTGTTTACTCTCATCACTGAAGTGTGAGCAGGAGAGTTATAAAGCCAGAGTCCTGCTAGGTTAATGTGGATGGCTCAACAAAGAAGCGGTGACTATAGGTTTCTGTCTATCATACTATTCCTCTGCACTGTCCAAGCCTGACTGAGAGACACACTTGAGAGCAGCTGTGTGTAGATAAGAATATGTCAGTTAGATCAGTTATAGAAGGTAATAAGCATTAACACTATTTATGCTGGAACCACGCTTCAATTGAAAGGGTGTCACTGGTGGGCAAAAGGGATTGTAATACACAAAGTTATGACAGACCTACACTGACAAATTGCAAGCTTGAGTTGATGCACAAATTATTGATCGTAAAAAGGTGCTAATCTATAGAAAAACACAAACATATGAAGGTATGAAACATGGTTTTTAACACAGTTGAGGTCCTTTATAATGTTCCAGTATTCTTTTCATTTACTGAAGCATCACTGATTACACACAGGCCTCAGTCTGAGGGGCTTGTGGCAGTCATGCTTTACCTCGCGCTCCATAAACTTGTGCAGGGTCCATTATTGCTGTCTATGAGCCTCAGAGGCAGTGCTGAACTAAACGCACCTCCCTCCTGTGCTTAAATGTTTACACTTTTCCAAATGGTCCGGTTCATTACAAATAACCCTGACCTCCCGCTTCCTCTGCAGCCAGTCCCTCAAGTGAACGAGCTCCAGCCACATATTGACACAGTCCATCTAATTGCATTGATCCACAAAGGTCTCCCAAAGCTAACTAATCGAAACTGAATTTATTTTCTGTCAATATTTGCAAAGGTCATCTCTCTTAAAGCCATGCAATAGACATTTGGGAAGAGGAAGAGGTGGAGGTGGAGTGTGGCATTGCGCCTGTTACCGAGGCTGATCCAAGGTGAGTTTGAACCAGAGCTTGGCACTCAGAAACCAAAGCCCCTAATCCAGCGTGTTATTAAAAGCACTGGCAGAGTAGCACACTGGAGACTACAGAGGGCTCAGAGTATCCATTTCACAAAGAGGCCAGTGTCACCAGCACACTTCTTTGACTTCACATCATCTCCTTTGTCATGGCGCTTGGATCACTGACTCTGCTCCACGGCGCTGGGAGCTGGATCAAATTACCATTGAAAATCTTTTGTTCTGACAAATGAAACATAAGGATCCTCTTTCACTGATGGTCTTAAAGTCTTTTTTAGACTTGGCCTACATCCACGTTGGCAGAAAGAATCAGAGACTTTGCCCGCAGGCTCGCACACACTCTCTCGCATGTACAGTAATTAACATGCCATTAACACATTAATACACATTAACTATTCCCAATGTTAATGGCAGAGTAATTACCATACCTGATAGCGCGCTGTGGGGAGGCGCAGCACATTTGCCACTTTTTGTTTGGCTCTTTGTTGAGTGAGAACAGTGTGTGAGACTTCAGAACTAAGTTTTCTAGTCATATGCAACAACTGAGAGAGGAATAATCAGCTCCTGATATCACATTTAAATTGACCTCTTGAATTTTCTGTAGTTCAATTCCACCTATGATAAGAGGGTATACTGTTGTTGTGTCCTTGAAC